TCTTTAACCTCCGCACCACATTGAGGCGAGCAGTCAGCTTTCTGCTGTAGTTCCTTTAGATCGAGCAAATATAGGCATAGGAGGCAGGGTGGCCCTTAGATCTGATCTGGATGTAGTGGCAGTGAATGGAGTTCTCCCTGTCTTGAATCGAACCCCGCCTGCTCGCCACATAGCCACGTTACTGACTGAAGCCAGCAATCCCAGTTTAGACACTTAACTCGTTAAAATTCACTTTTGAAAAGAGTTGTCATAAAGCAATGAATCGTGAATATATTATAAGATATAAAACCATTTGTTGTTATTATTTAATGCATGGAATGGGAATGAAGTGAAAGCTGGATTTGGACTTGTTATAAACAAATTCAGATGCGGATGTTGACTGTGTTCAGATCAGTGCTCCCTTAAATTTACTTGCGGAACCGAATCAAATGATGCATGCCATTACTGGTTTCTGAGCTGAATTACGTGCAAGAATATGAGATGATTTAGAGACGAAGAAAGATTGAAGTTTTGAGATTATTATACTACACAAGAGGAGCCGGGATAGCGCGGTCGGTATAGTGACGGGCTTGGGTTGAAAGATCGGTTTTCAATTACTGGTAGGCGCAAGAGATTTTTCCCTACTCTACAGCGTCCAAACCTGCCCTTGGGCTCACCCAGCCTCCTATCCAGTGGGTACCGGGAGTCTTTTCCACAGGGGTAAAGGGGCCGGGGCGTGAAGCTGGCCAGTCACCTCCATTTAGTGCCGAGGTCAAGAACAGTGGAGCTATACCTCCACTCCCCAACAGATCTTCATGGCGTGATGCGTGATGAATTAAGTGACGACTCTACCTTTGCCTGTACCATACTGCACAGGAAGCACCCTGCAAAATGAACATTCCATGTGCTGCATTGTAGTGACCATTACTGTTACTTTGTTCATGGTTCTGGAATAAAGTTTAAAATGTATGTCGATTTTAATAAAGTGAAAAGTAGTCATGCACAGAAACGTACTACAGTATCATTAAACAGAACTAAGCTATAGCTGTAGAACTGTGATTATATATGCGCGAAGCCGGTCACGGTAGCCGAGCGGTCTAAGGCATGCACTGTCTTCGCTCGCTCGGAAGCCGAGATCGTGGGTTCTAATCCCACTCAGGGGATGGATATTTGTGTGCGTTTTTCTGTGTTTGTCTACAGGTAGAGGCCTTGCGACGAGCTGATCACTCGCCCAAGGAGTCCTACCATATGTGTAAGATCTAGAAAAACCGAAGTGAACGGAGTTCATGGAGGTACTCGTAGGCCTAGGCCCACTGGGGCTGTAGTGCCAAGGGGAATATATATATATATATGCACAAATGTTTAAATTAAGGAACTCCATGGAACAGAGTCCTTGAATAGGTACTATTCCTGCGGGTAGTCAAATTCCAAAATTTATGGACTCGGAAGATTTATTACTGTATTAATACAAGTATTCCACCAGTCCCTATCCTGAGTTGCTACTGTTCCATCCAGTTTCTTTAAGATTCATTTATGTTGTCACGTGTGAGTGACTAGACTCGGGGTTTGAACTGAACACTTGTAACTCGTAACTACAGGTAATTATAACCGTTTCACAAATCTACACGCCCTACTGACCACTGCAACTGCTGCGCACATTAGTGTCTTCACCAGCCATTGTATGGCAACGGCTCTCATCAGTATAGAAGAGTTCGGTCCATCAAATTGCTGTTGACCTTCACAAATATGGTACTAACTTAATGAAACAAAATGGCTGATAGAGTTCATAGGCCGTTCCAAGTCATAGTCTTTAATGCAAATGGCATTTGGAGGCGGCGCTATTAGCTCAGTAAACAGCTGCAAAGCTTACATATCGATTATCAAATCCCATGAGAGTTTTTTTCATTCCAAATTATCACTTTAATCGAACTTACCGCTTCCCGGGGAGAAAAGGCATTCCCCATAACCATGTAGAGTAGACCCATGCTATGTGTGCGATGCGTATATTTGACAAAGACGAAGCCTCTTCATGAGAGAGAAACCATTCCTCTCGTCAGAGAAGATGTTACATAAAGACTATGACCGCAGGGGTTCAGTTGCAATCTCTGGTCGTGATCCTCAGTGGGCTTGGCGCCAAGACGAACTGATTGACGCTAAACCGCCAGTCGTATAATACATCTGACTCTGATAGCGCAGTCATTCTTGACTTCACTCTTCTCGAGATCAGTGACAGAGGTTTTATTCTCTCTTGTAACATCTCTAGGAGAGAATAAAAATCTTGGCCTTGGATCCCGAAGAGACCGAAGCCTTCAGTCGGTCGGTTAAATTGCTGCTGGCCTTCGCCAGCAAAGTCATTCATGGCTTCAGTCTTCTCGAGATCCATGATTGTGACCTTTATTCTCTCCAAGACATGTACATGTTTCGAAATGGGGCTTTCTTTCTGTGTAGGCGCCACGTTTGTTACACCATAGTTTCAGTACGAGTATATCCGCGCTGTCACGGCNCCGCGCCATAGCTCAAGCGGTTAGTCGCTGGCTTCCCACCGCGGCGGCCCGGGTTCAGTCCTGGGTCTGGTCAAGTTGGATTTGTGGTGGACAAAATGGCACTGGGGCGGGTTTTCTCAGAATACTTCGGTTTCCCCTGCCAATCTTCATTCCACAAAATTCTCCATCATCATAATCACCTGGGGCAGGCTACAATAGGCCAATCAGTGGCCGCCGTGCCGAGTGGACCCAGTTGGACTCCACCCCTCACTATTATTTGATTTGCATTGCACACCCAAGTTTATTCTCATGTGGGTAGATTCACTGTAGGAGATATTGGAATTGAGTCTCATCTTTGTGAAAATGGATTCCATATAGTTGTGTAGGATTATGTATTGAGTTGGAAGTTTTGGTCTGTTAATGTATTCTATACATATTTGTAGTTAAATACAAGGGTTGGAACTTTAATAGTGGCAACACTGCTGTAGAGACGCCATGCAACGGAACCAAATACCTCCCTTACCTCAGAGCAAATGGACTCTCCCTTCCCACATTACACGCATGCGCAATGACAAGAAGAACAGAGCCTCATGTTATCTGGCGGTCTAAAGTAGTGTTGTCACGATGTTTTCGAAACAGGAACAACGGAGATGGATAAAGACTGAATGTGCCAGAGGCTGCACAGCACGACAGTGTCATAAAGGTCTTCAAGAGGCTTGTGGGGAATCTGCATTACCTTACAGAACAGTTCCTCAGAACCCCAGCAATGTGAAAGTTATGGTGATTCTCGTGTATGACTGTGATGGTGTTATCCTAATGCATACCGTTCCCCGACAGCAGACCGTCAATGCGCAGTATTACTGTTCATTCTTGGAACACAACCTGCAACCAGTTTTGAGAAAGAAACGGCGACACTTTCTGCAGAACCCACTCATCATTTTGCAGGACAGTGCTCGGCCGCATGCAGCGCAAGCTGTGGCTAATTTGTTCGATCGATGGGGCTTGGAAGTGCTGTACCATCCACCATACTCCCCCGACTTAAGCCCTTGTGACTTTGACTTGATTCCTAAGATGAAGGAACCACTTCGTGGCATTCGCTTCAGAACTGTTCCAGAGATTCTTCAGGCAGTAGACCGCTCCATTCAAACTATCAACAGAACAGGCGCTGCTAAAGGTATCCTACGACTTCCACATTGCTGGCAACGGGTTCTATGCAATGCTGGTGACTACACTGAAGGACAGTAAAACTTCGAAACATGCATCTATTTTGTATCGGTTGTAAATAAATAGTTGCCACTATTAAAGTTCCAACCCTCATATTTACTGGCTATTTCCTTGCAACAACCGTAGTTCAGTCCCATCAGTTCATGTGAGACATTTGGTAGACAAAGTTGCAATGGGGCATGTTTTCTCTGGGTACTTCTCTTTTCCTTACCAATTCTCATTCCATCAAATGATCAGTTTCTCTCAACTGTCGTCTGGGACCTGCATGAAGTGCCATATATGGCCTAAATACCATAGACTGCACCTTACACCACCCTAAGGATAAAATACTGAATATATAGTGACTTGTCACTAACTTGATAGTTTTATAATATTATATTGTAGCATCCTGCTGCACCTCACTTAGTATCAAATGGTTTCACAGTCTCACATGCAGCACGTCTTTCTGTAAAAGTTACTAAAATTTATATACCTCATATAGATTTTAACTTATTAAAAGTTATTCACTACATGTTTCAATGTATGAGGTCATCATCAGGTGTTTTAGAATTATAAATTATAAATGAGGAGACGTCTATGCTTCCGTATTGTGGTTTCTGGTCATTACTGTGCGGTCCCTTATATGCACACGTATATGTGTGACGTGTTTGATCTGCTGACAAGGTAAACAGGGCCCATTTCTGCTTGTATGACCAAAGCAGTGAATACTTATAGAGGGTTATGAAAGTGTAATCCATACCAGAGTATGCAGAGTTTCCACTTATTCTTTGCACCTTCACCATTCTGCGTTCTAGCTATTATGAATAAGATTTCATGAACATGTTTATTTTATCATTTGTCTTTTTCTTCTTTTGATGGACCTGTTGCACATAATGTCAAAGGTTTACACCTTTACATTCTGCAACAAACAAAAGACATTATCAAAAATTGCATATTTTTCGAAGATTTGTAACCACACATTATTGCAGGACTTAAGTGGTGCTAATATAATTCGCACTTCACAAATTTGTGTGTCTGGCATATTGGTATTACTGATTGTAGGAAATCAAGGATTACAAGTTTAGTGTCAATCAGATCTTGAGTTGAAAAGTGCAGACACAGCTGGCCCCATGTGTGTTAATTTCATGTGCATTGCGCAAATAATTGGAAATTTAATGACTGGCATCCCAGTGGTTTTAGGTTTGTCATTTTGTTTAATAAGCAGAAATTAACTGATGCATTGTCCTGAATTGACTTTATTATACATGTGTATTTTTCAGATGGTGAAGTTATTGCTTGGGTTTATATTACATATGGCGTTTCTTCTTTCTACAGGCAATCAGTATTAATAAAGCCATCAATCAGATTGAAACACCAGTGAAGGAGAAACATGTAAGAAGTATCCTTTATACAGTGAGATTTCTTTTGAGCATCCTACAAATCATTGAACCTCTTGGATGAAGAGTCAGATAGTCTTCCCAGCATGTCACCCCTGTGAAGATTCAAACTTCTAGTGGACCTGACTGACAGATGTTAGCTTAAATACTTTACAGATAATATTACCTGGATTACAGGAGGCACGTGGTAGTCTAGGTGGTTGAGGCACTGTGCTACAAACCAGAAGGTAATGGGTTCAGTTCCCAATGAGATCATTGGATTTTCAATTGACCTAATCCTTCCAGCCCCACTCTGGCCCTGGGGTGGACTCAGCCTCTAACAAATGAGTACCAGGAATCTTCCAGGGGGTAAAGGGTGGCTGGCATGTAAGACTGACCTCACCGCCATCTGTGAACCGATTGTCTAGAAAATGTGGGCTCCTCAACATCTCACAATCCTATGGGCATCCACAGCCTGTTACAGGGATAGCTACAACATATTCTGGAAATGCTCTCAGATGTTCTGCACATGTGCCTGACCCCCCATAAAAATTTACATTTACACACTGAAGTTCTTCGGAAATAGAAAAATCTTTCATTCAGATCTTCAGTTGTGTGAGAATTTTACAAAATATTTTTCTTTACTGTGCCACTGCTATATTAAAGCTACATTAATCTGTAAGTGAAAATTCATTTCACTACTCTTACTTTAAAAATGTTGGAGCCATGATTGTACGTCCCCCTCGCACACTGAAAAGATTTTTGACAAAGACAAAACAACTCCATCCAGTGTGACTACTGAAGTTTTTACTACTTGAAAACTTAACACCCTTACATGTTTTGGTCCCTGTAGACCATCATCAGAGGGACATTGATACTTCTTGGAAACTACCATCACAATGGGTGTTTTGAGTGTTAAAATACATATACATACAATGCTTGTAATGCACAATTTAAAAACTTTAATATACCAAGAAAGCTGCTGTAGTTGTGGAAAAGTTGGATTTGTATATATTGTGCACTACAAACAGTGTATGTATATGTATTTTAACACTCAAAACACCCATTGTGATGGTAGTTTCCAAGAAGTATCAATGTCCCTCTGATGATGGTCTGCAGGGACCGAAACATGTAAGGGTGTTAAGTTTTCAAGTAGTAAAAACTTCAGTAGTCACACTGGACGGAGTTGTTTTGTCTTTGTAATTGTTAGTGTGAGGGATGAGAATGAAACAAACCAAACTCCATATTACATTGTCATATCAGTACAACTTGCCAGCTGAAGTGTACAAGTCTTTAACTGAATGCCAGGTACAATTATTGGAACCTTTCATGAAAAGGGAGCACAGACTTTTTGGGTATGTGCACTGCGACTTCCTTTGCAAGACAATCGAATTGCAGCATGGAAGTTTTGTCATGTCCTGCATAAAGTTCTTCGAGAGGGACATCCACAAGTTCTTTCCCACTCCCAGCGACATCGAGGAGAAATAGAAGATTTGGGGAAACTTTGGGTAAGCAATGGAAGCTAAGTCTTGAGTTTACTTAAAGATCTGTGGCAGAGAAGATTATTGTCCTCTGGAATGTTGATGCCATGTACGATAATTTGGGAGATCATTGTCATAATTTTAGAAAAATCTGCTGCCTCCTTTCTACTCTGAAGATGGAAGTACCAGGTTCCTTTGAAATAATGGTAGTGATCTATTAGGCTACACAGTGTCACATACCAGAGGGCAGTAATCTTTGTAGTCACTTCTGTGAGAACCTTGAAACTCACATCTAGCAAAATATCAGAAATTTGTTGCATGTAGTTTTTTCAAAAGTAGATTATTGTCATTACAGGGCTGTTTCAATAGCGACCATACACAAGTTGCATGGTATACTGCAGTTTTAATACACATTCAGACCTGGCTTTAAAATCTTCAAATTCCTTGGCAGCCGAGACATTTTTCTCCAAATATCTGTATTATGGCTGTTTTAACTGCATTTAAATTCTGAGATATAAGTGAGATTTTCCACTCTTATTGTAACTGTTGTTTATTGAGACTGTGTTGGAGTCATTTATCAGCTGTGACATATTGGAAAGCTGGACCCAATGTTAATTAGACATTTCTGATTGTGAGGTAAATATTAGTAAATATTAGAAGTTCTGGGCTGTAGATCTGAATATGTAAACTTTCCATTGATTCCTTTAAGCACCCATAGCTGGAGTGCTGTAGTGTAAAAAAGTAAGTAAAGCTATCCCTGTACCAGGCCGTGAAGGCCTATAGGGTTGAAAGACATTGAGGGTCCCACATTGTCTAGACAATCGGCTACAGTTGTAATAGAATCTGAAGGACTTATTCTGTGCTTTGCTTTGCAGTGTCACTTACGAGAAGGCTATGGGAAACTTATACAATGCTATACAGTTCTGCTCATAACTAAGTTGGACTTCCATCGCCGCAACCCTCGCTTCCCAGGCAACCTTCAGGTTACGAAAGAGGAACTTGAGAGCATTGGCGAGAATGATATCAATAATTAGTAAGTCTGGTTTAATCCACTGATCATGTCAGGTTATACAATGACACAGACCTACCACCCTGTATTTATTGTTATTCATAACATGAAATTGACAGTCTCTCTTTAAATATGTATGATTGGTGGAAAGTAAGTGTGTGAATTTTGCTCTCATGAAGGAAGAAGCCACTTCTACACTTACGAAAAGAGTTGTGAAACGCAGTGTTGCCATAAATGAGATAGGATGAAGCTGCTTCTGTATTTAAAGCCAGCATAGTGGAACAAATATATCAAGACCTGTTAGTCATATATTGGTACAGTTATGCTAATAGAATGTACAAAATGTGACTGTGTTTATATGAAGGCGAGTCAAGTGAACACCTTAAATATTTTTTTGAGTATTATTTATTGTGCACAAGTGGTACAAAGCTGTATCACTTTTCAACATAATCTCCCCCACGCTCAATGCAAGTCCTCCAGCACTTACAAATTGCAAGAATTCCTTTGGAAAAAAATTCTTTTGGTAGTCCGCGCAACCACTCATGCACCACGTGGCGTACCTCTTCATCAGAACGGAATGTCTTTCCTCCCCATTGCTTCTTTGAGTGGTCCAAACATATGGAAATCACTTGGGGCAAGGTCTGGTGAATATGCCGGATGAGGAAGACACACAAAATGCAGGTCATTGATTGTCGCAACTGTTGTACGGGCAGTATGGGGCCTTGCATTGTCATGTTGCAAAAGGATACCTGTGGACAGCAATTCATGTTGCTTTGATTTGATTGCAGGCCGAAGGTGATTTTTTAGGAGATCTGAGTATGATACACTGGTGACAGTGGTTCCTCTAGGCGTGTAGTGCTCCAAGATGACGCCTTTTTTGTCCCAAAGGAGTCAGCATAACTTTCATTGCTGATGGTTGTGTTCGAAACCTCTTTGGTTTTGGAGATGAGGAATGGCGCCATTCCTTGCTCGCTCTCTTCGTTTCCGGTTGGTGGAAGTGAACCCAGGTTTTGTCCCCAGTAACGATTCTTGCAAGGAAGTCATCACCTTCTCATTCAAATGCCGCAGAAGTTCTTCACAAGCATCAGTATGTCGGTCTTTCAATTCAGGATTTAGCTGCTGTGGCACCCATTTCGCAGACACTTTGTGAAACTGGAGCACATCGTGCACAGTGTGGTGTGCTGAACCATGACTAATGTTTAAACTTGATGCAATTTCATTCAATGTCACTCGGCGGTTCTCCCTCACTATGGCTTCAACTGCTGCAGTGTTCTCTGGAGTCACAACTCCATGTACCTGACCCGGACGAGGATCATCTTCCACTGAAGTCACACCATTTGCAAACTTCCTACTCCATTCGTACACCCGCTGCTGTGACAGGCATGCATCACCATACTGAAACTTCGTTCTTCGATAAATTTCAATAGGTTTCACACCTTCACTACACAAAAACCGAATAACAGAATGCTGTTCTTCCCTGGTGCAAGTCTCAAGTGGGGCAGCCATCTTATACTGGTGCTGTGACGGTGTTTGTGCATCTGCACTATGCTGCAACCTACAAGCCATTCTGCACGCTGTTTGTAGCACGCTTACCAGCTTATAGGATAATGGCACAAAATTTCGATATTTTATTACAAATTTAAGGTTTTCATTTGATTCACCCTTGTATTTCTATAAATAACGGCTTGATAGTTACTGCATATCATATATCACTGCTGTGATTTGTTTTAAAATATTATGTTTGTTTTTGACTTCAAAGTAATAGTTAGACAGTGTAACTTAGGCTAAGTGGACTGCATGAAGACTGAGTTGGCTTTGATTTATTATTTTACCGCATTGTCAATCTAAGCTTCCGTCCCAAAAGAGAATTGCAAATTACAAGTGGAAATTTAATTTTTACCTGTGCTTTTGGGAAGAATCTCTTACTCCCCTGCTAAGCCACCCACATCTCTCCCCCATCCCCTATTGATCCTCACCTTGCAGTACTGACTACTGATCTAAATGTGACTGAGTGATGAATTCTGTATAAATGTGATTAACAAAGTTCTTCACAGGCACGATCTGACAACCCAGCTTACTTGAGAAATATTGGCACTTCCTTACTGGAGGTGAGTGTGGGTGAGATTCCCCTGGCTGTAGAAATGAAGACAGTGCTCTGACCCCTGCAATGGACTTTGTTTTTGTTGGTGTATAGAGTGTAAACAGTAATATCTCTATGTGTATGTGTATGTGTGACATAAGATACGTGGTTCTGTGTTTCATTTTCGTTTCATATTAAGTGTAAACAGCAATATCTTTATATCTCTATGTATGTAAGACCTAGGATATATGGTTCTGTGTTTCATTTGTGTCATTCAACAAAACATACTTTTGTCCTGAAGATGGAGGCAGCAGATTCATAAGAAACATTGGGAACAAGTTACAAAACTACACTGTATCACAACCCAGAAGGCAGCAGTCTTAATGATTATATCTTTTGCTGTCTTCCTGCCAGCTGTAGTTAGTACCTCCACTTGTGAAAGAATTGTCAGGCTGTAAGATTTGAGGCTTTCACGGCGGTGACTATGAAGAAAGCAGTCTTCTGGGATTTGGCACCGTGTATATGTGGTGTTAACCGACGTTTCGGAGGAAAGTATCTCCTCCACCTTCAGGGTAGAAGGAAAAATATAAGAAATCCGCAAGTGAACGGTCTCTTCGCTTGCGGATTTCTTATATTTTTCCTTCTACCCTGAAGATGGAGGCGATACGTTCCTCCGAAACGTCGGTTAACACTACATATACACGGTGCCAAATCCTAGAAGACTGCTTTCTTCAATTGTCAGGCTGTCTGTTAAAAATCAAACAATTCTTCAGAAACATCCCCGCTCAAGATAAGCAGGAAGTATGAAAGATCAAATATATGCTTGCTTCTTACATAATTCAATACTGCACATTGTGTAGTTGTGCCCTTTCTTAATACGCAGATTAATTGTAATAGGTAAGCAGCCTGTGGGGACCAATTACATTAGATCAGAGCAGGCTGAACAGAACCTGTCTCTTTGGCCATTCAGCTTTTAAGCAGGAGAAGGGTTAAATGTTTGTCTTGACTGATCTGGTTACCAGACTGAAATGTTTCTTGCATGATTGTGATATTGGCACTGTGGATTGGCTTGAGAGATATGATGCTTGTTAAACATTGAATTGAATTTTGATATTTTTTTGATTGCATAAAAAATGGGGAATTAACACTCGTTTGGTAATTCTTCTTTTTCAGTTTCCAAATGTCTGTAGAAATGTTTGATTACATGGATGAAATTTTAAATCTGCAGTCAGCAAGTAAGTGTTTTCTGTTTGTTGTAAATATATTTGAAGCATCCATAGCAGAACTTTCAAGTGATGATGATTTTCTTGAGTTGGTTTATGTGAAGTGTTTTGTTTTAGTTGGTTATTTAATGATGCTCTCAGTTTTTAAACTATGTAGTATCAGATAACAGGATGATTGATGAATTTGAAAGGATTTGGAAGGAAGCTGTCATGGACTGATCTAATTATTGTCTCAGCTTAAAATTATTTAATGATGCTGTTTGATCAGGCTTTCAGATGAGATATAGTGGAATGGCAATAGCTGGAGGAGTGGGCATTATTGAAGTTCTTTCCTTTTTGATTGAGAAAAATAACATAAATTTAATCAGGTTGTCCAGTGTTTGTGAATTGAGATAGGAACAATGTTATGAAACTGATACACTCAATAAGTTTGATAGAAACAGATTTACTACATTATAATGCTAAAATGTAGCAGTTCATTTAAGAGAGTAGGGTTGGTTTATTACACTTATGCTAGGAGGTGGCTCTTCATGAGGTGCAAAGTATAGGGACAAGTTTGTCCTTGTCTTTTTATGGGTACTACAGATGGTTCACTTGCAGGATCCGTCATATATAAATTCAAAAATGTTACCAGAATGGGTTGATATAGAGGTACTCAAGTGGTGCCTCATTTAACTAGTTATGACAACCAGAGCACTGGCTGTTGTAACAGGCTTTTTTATAGATTTCCTCAGGCAGATGCCAGGGTAATACTGCAGTTAGGGTATGATTGCTTCCTTCCAGATCCCTTGTAATTCATTTATCCTACCATTTGACATTACATAATCTTGTGATAGCGTTGTAAAATTACAGACGGGGAAACAAGATTGATATATCTCTGTGCATTCAGTGCATATGGCATAGACTTGTTCTCAGTAGTAATAGACGTGGGCTTAGATGCAATTCAATGGCATGTTTATTAGTGCCTGAGTGCTCATAGATTTCACATTTAGAGATAAGCAGACATGTTAACACTCCAGCAGATCTCCAGTACATGCTATGTAGCATATGGATACCCCCCATATTTATTCTGGACATTGCAATGAAGACAAAATTTCCCATTGTACTGTAGTTGCATATTTATATTTTTTCCATTATTTCCATTTTTGTTTAGTTTATTCAAAATGCATAGTCAGTTTTTTAAATATCAGAGGTACTTATAGGATGAATAGAATAGTAGAATTTGCTCTTTGCTTTACTTGTATGTAATTTAATACAAGCTGAAATAAGGGTGAAGAATTATTTTGAATTTCCAGAAAAATTGGTTCTGCAAACTCATTCACGTTTGATTCTGAGCTTCTGATATTCCACTGTTACATACTTCTCTGCATTCAATTTCACACGTGTCATGGCTTTCTCTTTCAGTTTTTGGCTCACTCAACATGTCACGTTCAAACTCTATGATGAGCTCTGGTCAGTGTCGCCTTGCACCACTCATACCCTGCATTCAGGACTCATCACAGTTGTATGACTACTGTGTAAAAATACTCTTCAAACTGCATGCAAGTAAGAGTTGTTTGAACTATATGCTAATTTTACTTATATATGCACATAGGTAAAATACAGAGACATGCAATGAAACTTAGCACATGATTTGTTTTTTCAAATAGTACTTTACTATCAGTTCACATCAACAGTAGGTCCCGTTACTTTGTAACAGATGGTAACTAGTGAAAGTTGGTGACAGTATTTAGAGGAATATCATCAGATGGCTGCTTTGCATTTGAATATATACTTTTGCTTGGTTTCTAGTTGTATTTAAATGTAAATAATTTCTGAACTTACTGTAGCCTGTAGGATAGAAGTACCATATTTACTCACTTAATTATACCTCCACATAATTAGTGTATGTTCACTTTTAGATAGTTTTTGTGGGGGGGGATCAAATACTGCATATTACCTTTGATAACAGTTTGACTAACGTATGTACAAAAGATGTGGACACAGCATTGGGGCAGCATGGTATTTTTCATCAGAATGTTAACAAATTTGGTAGTTGAGTCAATAACTATGAATATCAATTCTTTATTGCCTCATGACATTCAACTTTAAATACATTTTCTGTGAAAATTATGCTTTGATCAGAATTTGAGCAAGGGATATCTTAATCTCATTGTTCACTGACATGTTGCCTGTCATTCTGAATATCCGTGTTGCCATATTGCATACACCTTGAATTACCTCAGGCTAATATGAAAAATTGTGTACTCTGAAAAGTCGTATTTGCCTATTTTATGCCCCACTGCTATCAGAGATGATTTTTTTGTTCAAGAAGTAAGTAAATTATGCAAGTAAATATGATAAGTCTCAAATGAGGGTTTTGTTTTATTTAACTTATCAGAGCCTAAATCTGAAGAATGCTATATAATTGAATTTAAATGATTACAGGTCTTCCTCCTGATACGCTAGCAGGTCACAGGGAGAGGTTTCTGAAGCAGTTTCAAGACTTGCGTCAGTTTTACTTGAATGCAAGCACGATGCAGTACTTCCGGAACCTCATCCAGATTCCTCTGCTGCCTGAGGCAAGTGTTTTGAACAGGCACTTTGTCATCATAATATTATTGGTTGAATAGCATTCCAGTATAAATAATCCCATAAAGCAGAGTCCTTGAGAAGCTAGTAGTTGCTTAGCTGGTCAAGGCATTTCCTTCCTTTTACCCAAACACAGTGAGCAAGTTGACTCAAAGGCCACACCATAGCTCAAGCGGTTAGTCGCTGGCTTCCCACTGTGGTGGCCTGGGTTCAATCCCGGGTCTGGTCAAGTGGGATTTGTGGTGGACAAAGTGGCGTTGGGGCGCGTTTTCTCCAAGTGCTTCGGTTTTCCCTGCCAATCTTCATTCCACCAAATTCTCCCATCATCATAATCACCTGGGGCAGGCTACAATAAGCCAATCAGTGGCCACTGTGCCGATTGGACACAGTTGGACTCCACCCCCCACTAAGTGAATTTAAAGTAATTAAATTAAGTTGACTCAAGCTGTTTAACGTATTTGTGAGGTACCTGTTTTGATTCTTGGACAGGACACAGGCTATCATGACATCATGGTTTTCCTCAGTCCCTCCTAGACTGCTGGATAGTACATCAGTTAGGCCACAACTGCTTCTTTCTATATTCTCTCCAATTCATTTGTTAAGTATTCTACCATTTCATGCTGTATAGTCGAAGGCAGCATTTCCCGTATGGTGTTCCACGGAACATCAAGGATCTGTGAAGTGATAATATGGATTCTGCGAGAAAGTTCTGTTACAATATAAATAAAAATTATACCCTTTAAGTATATGGCAAATTAGTTTTTAAGCTTCATTTTTCATATATGTGAGTTGTGATATTTGTTTCTAAATAGGTGCAGTGAAACAATATTTTGATCTTGTATCCTTGTTTAGCATTTATTTATTGTTATACTTACTTACTTGTGCTGTAGTTTTCAAGCTTCATATATAAGAATTTTATTAAGCATTCTATAATATTTGTTTTTACTGTGGAAGGGTTCTGTGGCCAAACTGTGAAATACTGGTCTAAGGCACTAAATGCATCACTAAATAAACCCTAAATGAACAAAGCTACTATTCCATTTCCATGTTGCTAGTTAATTTACTGATCACAAATGTGTGTACCCATGATATACGAAGGGGGACCCAAAAATAACTGGAAACGACTTGTTGCGCGCGCATGCTTTGTAGTTACGAGTTGTAATCAAATTTTGCAGACACCCGTCTCATGTGCAAACCTTCGGTTAAAATTTGCTGGACCGTGCTCCATGAGATGTTCGTTTCCTCAGAAAGTTGGTCATTGGTCTTTCGACGATCTTCATCAATTGCACGTTTGATTTTGGCAATGGTTTCGTCATTTCTTCCTGTCGAAGGACGTCCGGGGCGTGGCATGTCTTCTGTTGACATGTTGCCAGATTGATTTGAAACGGGAAAACCACTTGTAGACCTGTGATTTCCCCAAAGCATCATCATTAAAGGCTTGCCGAAGCATCCCAACAGTCTCGGCTGCAGTTTTCCCTAACAGAAAGCAAAATTTCACGCACACTCTTTGTTCCTTCTGGTCGGCCATCTCACTAATCGCCAAAGGGTTGAAACAGGAACGCACACAACAGAGCACCACAGACAAACCACTTAACTCAGACTGACGCCAGCTCACTAACAGTCGTGGGAAACCCCCAGCTAACACCACCTAGCAGCACAACTCGTAACTACAAAGCATGCGTGCACAACAGGTCGTTTCCGGTTATTTTTGGGTCCCCCCTCATATTATGATGCACTTCTTTTAATTGTATTAATTAATTAATTTTAATTGTAAAAGTGTATTGAGAGATTTAAATCGAGGTATATGAAAGGGGTAGTGTGGATAGAACTGTATCTTTATACATCTTACTTTAGGAATTTTAGTATTTTACAGTTTACAACTTTACATAATCCCATAGCATTTTTAAGAGCTGAACAGAATCCAAAGAACTTTTTTTCTGACCTGCTTTTTGTGTGTTTCCAGACACCACCTAACTTCCTTGTGCAATCAGATCTGCGAAGCTATGTGACTCCTGTTGTTATTCTTCCGCCAGAAGATACGGTTCATCATAACGATAGTGACAATGTGGTGGATGGAAACCTTGTAGACACATCAGATGCCAACTCCCTGACAGGAGATCTAGTAGACTTGAACCATCGAAATGGTTCAGTCTCACCAGATGTTCTTGCAGAAAGGCAAGTCATAATTTCTCATACGGAGTAATTTAATTCAGAATTTTGTCAAAAAACGTTTCAAGTGTGTGGGTAAAATATAAACAAGTTCTTCAGAAACTCATATTTAATAGTAAGGAATGAAAGATTTGAAATTCCCCACAGAGTCTCCTCCCCCCACCCACCTCATTTGAGAAGTTAACATAGAGAAAAATGTAGCCCCAGGATAGGATTAAATAAGAATTTGTAGCGCACATATTTCCCAAATTCTTTATTTGCAATTTTGCATACCTTTGGCCTTAATCAAGCAGTTGGGTCAAGTGGTAATTCTTATGACTAATATCAGGTAATCAGATTTAATCTCAGCTGAGACTGGGAGTTGTCAGAGTTTTCGTCGATTTGTTTAGGCAGGTAGTATGGTGCTGGTTAATGGAGTTTATCCCAGATCACTGTCTTGTTGTTGCCTCTACATCATTTTAAATTAATGTAAGCCTAATAAAGAACTCTCACTCAGGCAGGTTGGTATAGCTGTAATGCTGTAGACTGGTATTCAGGGGGTACTTAGTTTGAATCCTGCCCAGGATATCAGCTATCCTGATTGAGGTTTTCATGGTTTTTCTCAAGCCCTCCAGACAAGTGCTGGGATAAGACCTCAGGTTGTGACCACTTTTCAATTTTTCAGTCATCCTGTTCAGTGCAATGTAGTCTTAATAGTGACAAAGAAAAAAAAAAAAAAGAACACCTTTCAAGGAGTGGATGAGGAGTTAATGTATAAGAACAAAAATATTTGTTATGGAAGGTTCTTTCACTTTTATTTGTTCTGTGCTGCAACCTTTGATATGCTGGCAAAATCTTTAGTAAAGAATGTAATGGGCTGCAGCATAAGAACCCGAGATCCTATGTTTTACAGAGACGCCTGATAGTAGCATGCAACATAAAGTGACTGTGCTCATATGACTTGATAGTAGTGTATGGCATAGAGATTGAAGTAACTATGTGTTTTAACAGGGACAGTTTGATAGAGCATCTGCAGCAAGAGATCGCTCACCTAAGGAAGGAAATACAGAGGTTAATCCATGAACACCAAAGAATAGTGGATCAACTGAATGAGAAAATTGGGGAGCTGCAAGTGGATTTAGCAACAAAGGTCCTGACTGACTGTAAACTGCTATAAAATCTTGCATGGGTGACTGTGCGATAAATTATTTTAAAATGCATTTTGGAGTGCTAGTGAATTTCTTTCTTTTCAATTTAGACAAATTCCACATGAACAAAGGTTTCAGAAGCAAAATGATGAAGATCTGGAGTCGGTTAACTTGCTCAGGATATGACGCAGTACTATGTTTCTTGACTGGATGAATGATTGTTAGCTTCACAAGGAGGACCCTGTGATGTGCATTTCTCACACACCAGATGTTTTGTTGTTATTTACAAGAGATTTCTAACCAAAATTATTAGAACACAAACTCAGAATCTTAATAGAATTAAACAGTAGGAAATTATAGTCAAAACCGAATACAAAACATGGGTTTCCAAGGGGTGCCAACCTTGAGAGATAGATAATCTCGCTACATTACCTATAAATTCCTGTGTTATGCATGTAAAATTTTCTTTATTTCAGTGCATTTCATTTTCATTGAGTTTTCTGGACTCTCATCTTTGAGGTAATTATATTTTCTCTTCCTGATTTCTTTTCTGTCAAACACAACANTCTCGCTACATTACCTATAAATTCCTGTGTTATGCATGTAAAATTTGCTTTATTTCATTTTCATTGAGTTTTCTGGACTCTCATCTTCAAGATAATTATATTTTCTCTTCCTGATTTCTTTTCTGTCAAACACAACTTGAAGAGAGAGGATGAAGGATGTTCCATTAGTGCATCAGATAAATGTACACAGCACATTGGCCAGGCAAGGAAGAGACAGTTTCTTCCTATACATATTTTTCTTTTACATGTTCTTTGTATTCTTCCATGTGTCCATTTGCATGTTTTTCTCCAAAACTGAACACATTTGATTAAAATTTGGTGTTGGTATTCTACACTAAAGGTGAGTGAATGATATTTTGATTTGTATTAGTTGATTATAACTCTTCAATTTGTAGCTCAAATTCCTGAGAATAACTCGTTGTATACAGTTTACAGTTATGGATGTAAATAAAAGAATTAAGAATTATACAAATCTGGCATGTAACACAAAATATGTATCTCATTATGATACAGTAAAATCACAGAACTCACGTGGATATACGTGTGTTCTGGATATTAGCAAACCTAACTTTGTTTTAATTTTTATTGAAATTTTAGATGTAACTTGATATTGGAAAGATTAATTCTCAAATCTGATGCCACATTTAGGTTTCTATTTTTTCTGTGTAATTTGAGAATCCGATTTCTCACAAGTATATGCTGGTGAAGGGTATCAGCTGACAAAGCATGTCCTGAAAACTTTTCCAACTGATGCAGAAATACACTTTAATTTACTAATTTCTTCCTTTGAAAGTGAAATTTGTAATCGGAAGAAGCTCCAGAGTGGAAATAACTTTAAGTGAAGTTTATAATAATCATAATAATGATTAAATTATCATTTCTTTCTATAAAGTAAAAGATTGTTTTTGCAGAACCCTTATTTTCACTTCATGGAATGCTAGGGTTCCACAGAACAGTTGTTTAAGGAAATACTGATCTGCAAAGTACAAGCATTAGATGACCTGAAGAAAGCAGTCTTCTGGGATTTGGCACCGTGTATATGTGGTGTTAACCGACGTTTCGGAGGAACGTATCGCCTCCATCTTCAGGGTAGAAGGAAAAATATAAGAAATCCGCAAGCGAAGAGACCGTGAGAACCGGTAAAAGCCGGTCGTTGGTTGGTTACTAACCAACAAATTCACTGAATTTCAACGACAGAGAGTTTCTTGTCTTCCTCCTATCACCATCCCAAGGAGTCAAGGTCACAAAGAACAAAGGGCAATAAACAGCTCAACATAAAACCATGCTCTGATGTGATAGGGCACGAAAACTATTGGCATGTGGATGTGATAAAAAGATGTGAGACACTTAGGACTGCAGTTTTGAGTTGATATCCTCTTATCACCATCCTTACGATGGCATGATGTTGATGTTTTACAACTTTTCTTTTTACTGATAATTTCGCCATTATATACCCACACATCTCCCCTTCATTCACAACATGTCTTATCACCCTGCATGCAGGCACTTTCGCTCAGCCTGCAATTGTGGTTTGTGCTGGGAACTCTCTGCTCAGTGTCCCAACTCATCAGACTGCGCAACTTACGTTTACAATGAACTCATCGCGGGAAACACATTCGGCCTACCCGAGGAGTACGAACAGGAAGATTATACATCTAATTCACCTATTCATGACGGCTCTACTGGGGTAAGTCCCACATCGGATTCTAATGTCACTACTGCAATGGACAAACCAGGCCAAGATGAAACAAGATTGGCCATCCTTCACCACCCCGACAGGTTCAACTGTACGTCTACCTCCGAGGAGATACATTCTCTTCTCAACCTGCCCACAACCAACATCCCCAGAAATTCTCCGCCAATTCTCAGACTTCCTGAACGAACATCACCAACTCCTATCTGCCCCAGAACCCCTAGCCCGCTTGACCTCTCATATACAGCTACTCGAAATTCCATCTCCAGAAGAGACTCAGTATCTCCTCCTCTCTCTGACGAACACGTCCAGCAGACATCTCCTCCAGTACATCATCTCAACATTCCTCCACCTATTCAAAGCAACACCGTCGATGATGGTGATACAAGAAGGAAGCGAAAAAGAACCCCTGGTGACTTACACGGTGAACAACTTAAACGACATCCTGACTGTACTCCTCGAAACCAAATCCAACAAGGAACAATTCCTAGCGGACANACACGGTGCCAAATCCCAGAAGACTGATTTCGTCATAGTCACCGCCGTGAAAGCCTCAGATCTTACATTAGATGACCTGTATACATCACAAGAGTTCCTTACTGTGTAACTCTTAAATTGCTCCATCACTTCATAAATTTTGGTCCAGATATTTTCATTTGGATTATAAATATAGCAAACCTGTCCATTGCATGAATTGTATGTAAAGTATGGCAGGATATAAACTATATTTTATTCTTTTACTGCTGATCTTACTTTGTGTTAATGAGTATCTTTATGTTTACTTTAGCTCTCGGGGATATTCATAGTCTGCATGAGCCAAATTAATTTTCAGTAAAGGAACGCCAAACTGATTATAACACAGTGACTTGAATTGTTTCCCTTTGTTATGCCCCCCCACCCCCCTACCCAGTAAGGTTAGTTCCCCCCTACTGGATGTAAACCATTGAAAGAAATGCAGTTTGAATTCCTTTAACAGTTTATATTTCAGTGTTCATACATATTGTAACGTGTTTCATTACTGAAGACACCATAGAGATTGTTAATTGGTTTATTCAACAGCCTACAAGTAACGGCTACAATTAATTATAACAGTGTTGTGGGGTTTCACAATTTATAACCCTATTCGCAAATCAAATGACTATTGACACTTTTTCACAGTACGGGAGCTGTACAAGTGTCACTATGTTACACACTCCCAATTAATTCTCAGTTATCACAAACTGTCATGGATTATCACACACTAACTCGTAACTCGCCGCTGGCTAGATTCCAACTCAACTTGTACGCTGCTGCCTTGAGAACTGTTGTTCACACACTGACTCGTTCACTGCTGACCGGAGAACTGTCTTCGGCCGCTGATACACTTTAACTGTCTCCAGGGATGGCTACACGTTCACTCCCTTCGTAGGCAGTGTGGTTCACTTGCATAGTCGCAGCGCCCACCTGTTACGCAATCGGTACCGCTGTTGGCTGTTACCCGTGTCACAGCTGTGTTGCATGTTATGTCACCGTGGAAGGGGGGAATGGAGCGCTGACTCACCTGCCATGTCGCTGCTGGGAGGGGGGGTTACCCTCCATTGCGCAACATGTCACATTATGCCTTACATGTTATCGTGGAAGATGTTCAGTAATGAAATTTCTTCATTCGTGTTTGCTTTTATTGTTGATTATGTGTGGTAACAGTGCACATTATTGAAATTTTTTTTCCAACAGGACAGTGAACTTCTACAAGAAAGGCAATTGAAAGAAGATTTGTTGCAACAAACTGAAGCTGTTTCAAAGTTCCAGGAAACAGAGCGTAAGTTTTAGTGCATCATGTATATCACAGTATTTATTTACAGACAACTAAGAAGCTTTATGGTTGGCAAAGAGGAAGAAGTGTTTCAAATTAGACTTTCCAATGCCTCTATTATTATCTTATCAGTTATGTTTTAATGGATAGCACATCTGCTTTGTACTGAGAAGGTACCTGATGTGAACTGTGTCCAAGGATCGCTATCCTCAAATTTATCTCTAGGTAGTGTAATCATGCAGCTAGTCAAAAAGTTCTCCATTTTTCATGTAATTTGAATGTAGATCACTATTTAACAAGATCTCATCACTACATCCTTTCCTAGGCTAGGTATATCTACTTTAACACTTCACAGTCTCTTTATTTAACATACATTTTTATATCTTTCCTCTGTATTTAGAATTCTCATTTCTTAAGGATTTCTGCAGAAATTATGCATGCATTGTTCATCTCACCCATGTGTTCTTCTGCATTTCCACTTCATATATTTTGATTGAATACAAATCATGATGCTGTTCATATGATTGACTTAAGAAATTATGATGTCACTCTCTTGCATTTCACGTAGCACCACTTTTTTTTCAGTGTTATGTTACCTGTGCAGTGGATATAAAAATGTAGTCAGAGAGAGGACTCTGATTTTTAATGCATTTGAGTTGTGAAAATACAAATCCATGGTATGCTTTTAAAGTTGTTAACTCATTGAGAACCAGATCTTGATTTTCTCTCTCACCTGTTACTCCTGTTAACTTTTTTAAAAGAACAAATTTGTTTTTTAATAAATTATCTCTTAAATTAATCCACAAATCTGACTGATCTGAAAACTGGAGTGAGGAATGTGAAGGAAGTGTTTATATTAATTTACATTTGTAAAGTCAGGAGTGTGTTATTACTGTTATTAAAACATAACCTGCTTTGATACTGCATGTATGGTGTTCATGCATACTCCTGTCATTTGCTGCCAACTAAGACCTTCTCACTATCACTGGCATCAGCGTTATTTTCATCCAGATCAGAGTGAATGACTATGACAGATTTCTGAGTTACTTGGTCATGTATTCAGCAGTTACTTCTATACCTTCAGCTTTTCATGGCTGCAGATTAATTGTGATATTCCTGTTCCTAATTGCCTTCTAGATGGGAAATCTTGGAAGTACTATTTTTAATGCATTATACATGTTCATAGAATGAATTGGTGGAGATGAAGAAGGTTAATAATGCTGTTCCTGTTCTTCTGGACAAATATGAGTCCTCATGAACAACACTGAGCTAACAATTTCAGATTTTATATAAAAAATACTATAGGAAGGAAATTTGTGCATATCATGGAGTGCAGTTCCATCACTTTACATGCCATATGTTTGTTATAGATATGCCATAACTCAGGCACTGGCTCCTCACTTTGGATCCCCAGGTTCTAGTCCAAGGGAGAACATGTAATGGTTGATACAGAACAATCCTAGAAGTACTTTCAGTTTCCCCTTCAAGTCATCCATTCTCCTCTGTCACTGCCCTCATATGTGCAGTAGGCAGAACCAGTCTGCATGCTGTCACAGCATTGGTCCTCATTTGGTGTTTCACATCTTATGGCTAGACTCAAGAGTGAAGACATTTTTGTGTTTGTTACAGAAAAGGCTAAAACAGTAGAAGAAAAATTCCAAAAGCTGAAGGATATTTACAGAAAACTAAGAGAGGAACATATCAAACTCATTCGACAGGTGAGAACAGCATTTAGATTGTCACATTTTTAAGTTGATTGTATTAATATAAAAGAAGTGACTGGCATAACACCATGCAACATAGCAGTTTAGGTAAGTTTCTGAGATTTTATTTAGAAAGAAATAATTTTTAAATAATCCTTTTGACTTGGATCACATGCCTCCCTGCAAATTGTTTCCATGGTGGCATTGCCAGGGTCATTGTACTGACTGACTTAAATGTGTGTGGGTGGGGGAAATTATTTTGACATAATTTGTCTTCCTGGACTTGTACCATTCTTTAACAAAGGTGTACATAAGAATAAAGCTATTATTACCTTGGGAAGTTGTGTACAGATTTATTTGGCACAATAGTGAAGAAATTTTTCAGGATATTTAATATGTTGCAGTTTACATATTACATACTCTTATTCCAGACATTGGAGAAAATTGATTTGTCATTTGATTCTTCTGTTATTTAATTGGATTTTTCAAACTGCATAAGTTACGTTTTCGAATGGCAGTATGATTTTTTCAGTGATTAATTGTGGACGTATGTGGAAGGTAACAGTTGTGACCTATTTTAAGTGCAGCGATCACCTATATACAGTGTAATTCACGAAGTTTTACCCCCACTTAGGGAGGGCATTCCTGAGGTAATTTGGAACAAAAATTTTAATATACTAATGGTATGCAACTCATAATTAAAGAGATACAGTAATTTGAAAACTGGCAATTCTTCGAATTTCAGCCAAAAAAAATTAGAAATACAATACAAACACTTTTTAAATCGTTAATGTTTCAGGAAAGAAGCATTCTAAAACATTTTTTTTTCTCAATTTCTTAATTTTGCATTGTGCAACATTTTTCATCGATTTTATGTAACAAAATTACATTATTTTCAGCATCCCATTCTGTAAACATACCAATGGTTGCATATCACACCCTTCTATCAATCTGTTTCCTTTAAACTGTAGAGCTTTAGAAGACGACTGGATTTACATAAGATTTTCAAAAATGTCTCCCTGCACGTCAACACAACGCATCACATGCGTATGAACCGTGCTTGTAGCATTTCACAGTTCCACACGTTTGTTTCTTAATGTCATCGCCGCGTCCAGAATACGTTCAAGCAACGCTTCATGTGTTTGTACCTTTACCTGGTACACAATGTCCTTCATCCAGCCCCAAATGCAATAATCTAACGGCGTTAGATCTGGCGATCTGGGAGGCCAGGCATCACGGCCTCCATGACCAATCCGCCACTTTGGGAAATGCTGATCCAAGTGAGCTGCTACTGCGCGGGAGAAGTGAGGAGGCGCCCCGTCATGCTGAAAGTACATCTGGCATCTTGTTGCCAGAGGAACATCTTCAAGTAACTGGTAATTCTTCTTCTAAGAAGTGGAGGTAAATCTCACCAGTTAAGCGGCCAGGAAAAAGTGAACAGCCCGATTAGCTGATCATACAGAACACCACACCAGACATTGGCACTGAATCGGTGTTGAAAATTTGATTCTGTTGTGGCACGGGGATTATTGTCTGCCAAAACATGTAAGTTGTGACTGTTGTTGACCCCGTCCCATGTAAACTGTGCCTCATCACAGAACATTATCAAGCGGTACAACTGCCGAATTCCATTTAACCAGTTGCAGAACTGCAGACGAAGAGCACGGTCTCCTGGTTGTAGGTGTTGTACTTGCTGTCAATGATAAGGATGCAGCCCGTTCTCATGAAGAGTCCTCCATGCCATGGACTGAGAAATACCGAACCGCCGAGCTAGACATCTTGTACTGGCACATGGACTCTGCTCTACAGCATTGAGAATGTTTTCTTCTTCGCACAATTCATGCTGAGGATTTCGTTCGTATTGTATACAAACGCTGGGGAGAGAACCAGTTTGTCTAAATGTGTTGAATTTACTGCTAATGGATTTAGGATTTGGAATCCTGCGATTAGGATAAGGCCGGTGATATTTGGCAGCAGTGGCTCTCGCATTTCCATCACATACACCCAAAACAAACACCATATCGGCGTATTCCTTAGTGGAAAATGTGTACGGCATCATAACTTCACAAAGTCTCCAACACAATGTCCTGTTTACTACTGGATCGCTCTGCCTACCTACACGCAACATTCCAGCCGGTCTGCCTTATCTGCTGACGCAGCTGACTGGAACACATGGTCACCCACCCAGGAGGGAAGCATAGCGCGGCATTCACAGTGATGCGTTTCGAAAATCCATTGTTACTCCATAACTGTTGAAAATCGACCACAAGTTTATAAGGAAATCTTGCAGGAAATAACCCCAGGAATATGTACCATAAGCCGGGGTAAAACTCCGTGAATCACCCTGTATAAAGCAGGAGTGATAATTGCTTGACACACCATTTAGTAATTACATATAGTCCAATGTGTATAACACTGAATAAGAGAAAGAAGTAGTTTCTGGTCTTTCTTATGTTCTTCTGATGGTTAACGGAATTGCTTTTCTGTATAATCATAGAAAGCTGATGTAGATAAACAGCTTCTTAGTGCACAGAGTATGAGTGACGCTGCTGTTAGGTCAAAGGCCCAAGCTGAATCCAGAATACAGGAACTGATGTTAGAAAAATCTCAGACGGAAGAATCACTGCAGAAATCTTCTAATGAAGCACAAGCAGAACTTGTACATCTGAAGCAAAGTCAGGAAGCAGCTAAATCTGAAAATCAGGTATGATGACGGAGCAAAAACTCTTTCATATTAGCTTCAAATGGATCTGCTGAAGAGTAGACATGATTTCTAAGTGCAGTATATAGTGTATTCATGCCTCTTATTTTCAGAATTTTTGTTTTGAAAATTATGAAGTTAGTTTGTTTCTGATACTCAGAATCTGGTTGCAGTTTATTTTTTTTTGTTTGATAATTAATAGAAAAGGCTGTCAAAATCAGTGGAGAATATGGAAATGGCAATATGTCTCTTTATATATTGTTTCATAGAAAGTAATATCTAATGTACAGAAAGTCGTGATAGAGTAACCCTCTAACCATGTGACTTTTCTGTGGAAAGTAGTTGGAGTAGTTTTCTTGACCTGAGATGTGACATGAATTTATGTCTTCTCTACATATTGTGGTAATAGATACTGTTATTGATTTCTCCTGCCTATAATAGTTGATAAGAGCTCTTATAGTCAGGACAGCTGAGTGTGACATTCAACATTAGACTTGCCAGACATTTTATATATGCATATTGCAGAATCTAGCCTGTAAAGTTGAGTGGCTTCTGAGTGAGAAGGGTTCAGTGGAATCTCAGCTTCAAGACGTGTTGGCTCAAAAGGAGGACCTTGATGTGCGACTTAAAGACACTGAGGGCAGGATGAAAGAACTGGAGTCACGACTACAGGAGGAAAAATTCAACAGGCTGTATCAGCTGTTGGGTATGTTGCTCTTGAATTTAAGCAGTATTCTTAATTTGGCATGTTATCCTATAATGGGACATAGGGCAGAGCCTTGGGTTGCTGTGCACTTTGAAGTTCTTATCCCTTTGTTTATTGATGCCCAATTAGTAAGCTGATTCATTATATATTTCCCATCTTTTAGACAGTTGTGTTCAAAATATCCCAGAAAGAAATATTTTAAGTCCTGTTGTATTGTGATGTGTTTGAATTGACAATTGGGATTTATTGAACATGGATAAATCATGTATAGCCACTATAGCTATCCCTATCTGCTCATTGGCTATCACTGGCTAACTTTCCCGACAGCCCTTGCTATATAACATTAGGGCAGTTCCTCTGTTGTGGCATGTTGATTCCCTAACAATTCCTATATTGTTTTGAGTCTGCCTGTTGCCAAGGACACATGTTTATTGAGCCGTTACCTAGCAGCAGACCTTTATTCTTTCTCAATTATTGTAGCCTTTCAGTTGCCATGTCAGAATAAGAACGTTTACACTAGACGAGGGGACCAAACAGTGGTATGCCAAATGGATAGACGGTTATAAAATGCATTACCCATACTGAAATATTTTTATTAAATGTAATTCATTGTGATGTTAATGTGCAGAAAATAATCCAACTGATCATCATTATGAACTTTGTAGGATTAAGCTGTCCAGTTCCCGCAGATCTGAAGGTGGTCTTCCAGAGTCTTAACAGTAACAATGCCAATTGCAGATGACAGTTGCTTGTCATTTGTGCCAAATATAATAATTACAGTAGACACTGATTATTGTGTTCATGGTTGGAAATTGTATTTTCATCCATTATCAGCGATTCTTTTGACCAAAATGATAGGAATGATACAGGGTAAAAAAATCTGGTCAGTATTCATCTGTGATATGATGGTACTGTATATGACTTGTATGTGTACCGTTTTAAACAAGTTGAAATTAATATGTAACAGACAACAGCCAATGCTGTATAACTTTGTTTTCACCTTATATGCAGTGCTTATAATGATGTCTAATGTTTGTGTAATTTTTATTTACCCATTCATATTGTTACTGAGTGCTTATGGACACTGTGCAGCATGTTTCAGTTAGCACACTATCATCAGTTGAAAGTACTGTAGTCAACAATGACAACAGATAGTCACTTCTAAATCATCTCCTATATATAGTATACTCCACTTCACATATTTACATCAGAATGTTAGTACTCACAGAACAGACACAGTCCAGTCAAAGGAAGGAAGGGGTGCTCATTCATGACATACAACATAACTGATGTTCATGCAGTGTGTTAACATTTGGCAATTTGTTCCTATGGTAGCCTGAAATTTTGTAATGACAATGATAACTATTATGCTTACAAAACTTTATGTATATGTGATAGTATACAGAAGGACCAAAAAATGTATAAACACTTTAATAGAAGTCATGTACGGACATTTTCAAAGTTCAACCGAAATGTATTGTATGACGTACGTAGTGTGATATTCTCTCAGAAGATGATGTTAGTCACATCAGTGCCACAGCCATCTTATTGAATGGCATGACAGTCAAAGAAAATGGTGGCAGAACTGATATTGTTTGAGCAGTGCAAGATAATTTTGATGTGGTACAGGAAATTTGGAAATGTGTGGAAAGTGCAAAGATGGTGGCAGCATGAATTTGGAACGGACCCTCCAACGTGATTAACAGTTGCATGCATTCATGTCAGATTTGAAGCTGATGATACAGTGCATGGTGTGCACGAGCAAAGATCTGGGAAGCCTGGCATAGCAATGAGTTCCACCTCTTCTGCTCTGGTGTTAGAACTGTCTACATGACCACCACAGAGGGCCACAAAACAATGTGCACATGAGACAGAAGCAGGTCAGGTGATCTGGTGAAGCAACATTTAAACTGAATGGTACAGTGACACTCCATAGTTGTGTGTACTGGGCTACAGGAAATGCATACAGTCATGTGGACATGGAGGTCAATTCAGTAAGACTCATTGTCTGGTGTGGACTGTCATACAGGGGTTTAATTGGACTGCATTTTTGAAGGAATTGTTACTGGCCCTATGTACCTCAACATGTTTTGGACATCCATTTTACTTACCATTCATCAGCTCTATGGGAATGAGCCATTTACTTTCAGCAAGATGGCACGCACCACACTGTCATCAAAATGTCAGAATCTACCTCAACGAAACACTACCAGGTCAGTGGATAGGATGAAGAGGTATTGTTGAGTATCCCCCATGATCACCTGATTTAACACCCCTCAACTCTTGCTTGTGGGGGTCCCTGAAGGATGTCATGTATCTTAGAAGACCAGTGACACTGGAGATGTTACAGGAAGAAAATGAAACATCGTGTGCTGCTATCCCAGTGGACACCTTGGCCACAGTTGCTCATGCAGTTGCCTGCTGAATTCAGAAGTGTTGACAAGCTAATGGTGTTCTAGTTCAACGTGTGTTGCAGCCCTCCGTTTCTGTATATATCAAATTTAGATTTCCAATAAATTATTTAAGCAAATATACTGTATATTGAAGAGTGTATGCATTTTTTTTGGGCCCCCTTGTATATAGGTATCACAGGGCATGGCTAGCATGTTCTGCAATTTACATATAATGTCCACTAAATAACAGGATTTTCTAAAATATGACCAATACAACTGATGGACCAGATTATAAATGTCTTTCTGGCTCTGAGCTCACTTGAAAGAATCAGTGGAATTGCATGACCAAACAAGCAGTCATACCATAACCAGTAATAATTATGTCTTCCTCTCCTCCATTCTCCTCTATATATTTGCCATGTAGAGTACATACCCCCTGTAGTGTGTGTGTCTGTATGAAATTACTTAAATTCACTTAAATTTCTCCTTTTCTAGTGACATGTATATCACAAGCAGAAGGAGTAGTACAAAAATCGATTCATGAAGTTGACAATCCAGCAATTTCTGCTGTTACATGTACACCAGGTATGGAACTGATTTGTGTGAAATCTGCTTTGTAAATTTTTCAGTTTTAACAGTCTTCTTGGAGCTTTAATGTTTAAAGTAAGATGCTACTGTAAGGAATCCATAGAAGCATGTTTGGTTGAAAAGCTTATGTTTGTTTAATATTAGTTGATGGGAGAAGAAAACGAAATAGTTGAACATACCTCTTGTTTTTAAATAATTTATCGTGTTATGGAGTACAGTACATTATTTCCAACAATTCAAATGCTGTTTTAAATCTTGTCATTTTTAAGATATAGTATTTATTAATAAAAATAAGAATAAGACAATTTTACACTTTCATCACTTCTTGAAAATTATTCAACCAACTGCAGGTTAACATTTGTCCAGCAGTTAATTATTAAGAAAATTAAAATGTTATACTTTGGCTGAACTCTAGTGTTACCTTAAATTGCATAGAGGATTTTTTGTAGTAGCTTCCAAGTTTTCTGTGACAGCTGTTATATCTCAAATTTGGAGCACTGAGAATGCCTTGGAAGCTGTTCTCTTCAAAATATTTTCTCTTACTGGCAGCATTTGTAGAATTTGTCAGAACTTTTCCATAAGCATCATATACAGCCTCCTGCAACAGAATCTTTAAAGCTGTTTGAATCTGAACTACATCTTTCAAGTGACAGCCTTTCATCCGGTGTTTTATACATGGAAAGAAGAAAAAATTGCACAGTACATTTAGAAGAGTATGAAATATGGGGGTAGGTGGGTGCAATAGTACCATGGTTGACATGTACAAGGGGCACTGGCATGCAGAAACACACAGTTTAGCCAACCTCATTTCAGGATGTTGGAAGGAAATTGCCTCCCACAAATATGTGACACCTTTATTAAGACTCACAAGACAACTATATCAAGGTCAGTGCCTGGTTTTGACTCTGCTACATGCTTCAGCTATTAATAGCCATCATCAGGCAAATACATGGCTAACATACATACACCACTGAACTGCAGTATTAATACTGCAATTCTGCAATTCCTATGCAATGGCCCACCATTATTGAGTTGTCTCTATGGGAACTCTCCGTGTATTCGTCGTAACTGTGGAGACTCATTGTAGGCTGTTAACTTCCTATTGTGGCCGTTGCGCAGCAATGACTGTAAGATAGCACGTTACAATATAAAATTGTTCTGTGGTTCATGTGTTAGTTTTAGACATAACCTCTTCAAACCTTCATTTCTGAGTGCAGCGTGGAGCCATAAGAACTGCATTTAAGATTAATGTATGGTTCCCAGATCCTTTAAATACAAGGTGTGGCAATAAAGAAACCGGATTACTTTTATGACTCATTTCCGGCCACGTCATTGACGAAGAGGAGGGTAGGGCATTGACCCTTGGACTTCCCTCTACCGTCACACAAAGTTTCATTCACGTGCATCGGTTAGTCTGGCCGCGACCATTGTTAGAAGCGGATCGTGTTTCTGAGCTCCGTCGGAATAATGCTGAGTGCTAATGCAGAACAACGTGCTAACATCAAATTCCTCACAAAACTTGGAAAATCTGCCACTGAAACTTACAATTTGTTGACAGAAGTATATGGTGATCAGTGTCTATCTCGCACGCAAGTTTTCGAGTGGTTTAAGAAGTTTATGGAGGGTAGGAAAAACGTCGGGAACGATCCAAAATCGGGCCGTCCTCCCACTGCGAAAACTCCAGAGAATGTGGAGAAGGTCGCTAGAATTGTTCGAAGAGATCGTCGACTGAGCATTCGAGCAATTTCTGAACTTACGAACATCAATAAGGAAAGTGTTAGACAGATTTTGCACGACGATCTGGGCATGAAAAAGGTGTGTGCTAAAGTGGTGCCAAAAATCCTTACCCCCCAGCAAAAGGAACATCGAGTGAATTGCTGTGTTGACACTCTTGAAAACATTGAAAATGATCCTGATTTCTTCCAAAACGTAATTACGTGTGACGAAACTTGGATTCTTCAATATGATCCAGAGACTAAGCGACAATCCATGCATTGGAAGAGCCCCAAATCCCCTAGGAAGAAGAAAGCGCGCATGAGCAAGTCCAAATTCAAAGCAATGATGATTGTTTTTTTCGATATCCGGGGGGTAATCTACATTGATTGGGTGCCTGAAGGTCAGACTGTCAATCAGGTTTATTATAAAAATGTTTTGACGTACCTCCGTGAACGTGTGCGACGAAGGAGACCAGACATGTGGAAGAATGCCTCATGGGTTCTTCATCACGACAACGCGCCAGCACACAACGCGCTATCTGTGAAGAGGTATTTGGCAAAAAACAACATTCCAGTGATGGAACATCCACCGTATTCTCCGGACCTAGCACCGTGCGACTTTTTTCTCTTCCCAAAAATCAAGTCTGCGCTGAAAGGGACCAGGTTCGAGTCCGTGGATGCAGTGAAAGCAAAAGCGACGCAACTCTTGAAGAGCATAACACAAGATGACCTGCAGCACTGCTTCCAACAGTGGAAAATTCGCATGGAGCGGTGTAGGGATCGGGGAGGGGACTACATTGAAGGGGATAACATTTCGACTGTCTGATTTTTTTTTAATAAAGGGTTAGAGCATGAATCCGGTTTCTTTATTGCCACACCTTGTAGGTGTTGCAAGGGTTCTAGAATTTTGTCATTATTTTATGATAAACATGTATTTTGTTCAGAATTTCCTAAATAACACATGCTTTGATTGGTTCTGCCATACAGACAAGATATTCTGAACTTCAGTTCAAAGTATGTCAGATTCAATGTTGTGAACCATGCCATTTTGCTGCTGCAGCAAGCTGTAGTTTACAGTAGGCCCAGTCGTGAAATTAAAGTGACTGCCCATTCCTGGCGGAAAGCTATTGCAAGTCAATCAAACGATCAGCCCTTGTGTCGATATTTTATGTTTAATTTTCATTCAATAGTTGTGCACACTTGTAACATTTAGCCCAAACCCTGTTAAAAAAAAAAGAAACTGGATTGGCTTTGAAATTAATGGCTGTATTTGAAATCCTATTCTAATGTGGCCTTATATTATGTTCGGCCAAAAGAAAGTTACTCTACTTCTTGTGACTTCAGGCTCATTTTTAAAATCTTTTAAAAGACAGACCAAAAGTGTGAAGTAATATATAAGTAACAGAGTTCGTAATAAAACCATATTTATTTGAGGTGATATTTTAGTTTCTGTTCCACAGTCAGCATTTCAGTACCCTGAATTTGAAAAGAAGGTCAGGAAGTGTAAAATTCTCTTTATGAAATTAGTTTTAAATGTATCAGTGTTTGGCTATGTAGGGAAATGTTCTAATAATTACCTAATTGTTGTCTTTGCTTGTTACAGATTATTTTAGAGGTTTGATTGAACCAGTTCAGAATTCATTAAATGACCTTGGAAGTTCATATAAGTCTTTCTATTCAAACTCTGCAGCAATTGATAACCTGGTTCAGAATGTAATATGTGTGGCTCAACTTGTTGCTAATTACATACTGCAAGGAAAGACCACATCTAACACATCTCCTGATATAGAGTTTGGAGAACGTAAGTATGACGTTATATTGAAACATTCCATTGCACTAGAATTTGCATGATAATTATAATATATAAATATATTGTGACATGTCTAACCGTTGCTGGGCAATGGGAGGTGGAACAAGATACCACGAAGACAGACCCTTGATAAACAGTTGGTTGCCAAGTTACGCAACACTGGAAACGAGGTTATGCAACAGTAGGGAAAGCAGTGTTTGTCTGTGCCAAGCCGAGCTGAAGCGCACTGGTTGCTATGCAGCGTGGCCCAGCAACGCATTTGTAAACACAGCGTCACGCAATAGGGCAGCGACTGTTGCTAGGTAATCGGTAAACATGACTTGCAACAGTGAAAGCTATCATGTAACTGTTTTCTGTGTTGTCAGCGCAGAAGCTACATAATAGGAGTATTCGTCAGTGTAACCAGAGTTACTTCAACGTTTTGTATGTATATGATTATATAACAAAATTGTGCAGACGACAAGCAGAAGTCATACAAAATCATGATAATGAACATGTTCGCGGTATAGGACAAGGTGAAGCCAGACACAGAAAATATAAGAGGCTTAAACTTGGTGGTGGTCAAGCTTATGACCGTTCAAATGACTAAGTTTTCATTGTAGCATAAGATCTGTAAGTTAGGCATGATCTGCTCTGTAAAGCCTGTACCGACAGAGGACTTGTGTGTAAAGCAAAAGGAAGAGTTTTCGATAACATATTACATGTGTGAAATATACACTTGACGAAAAGTCGAATGTATTCATAAGAGACAGACCCATCTTCTTGTCAGAGAGGATGTTACATAAGGACTATTACCGCAAGAGTTCAGTTGAAAAAAAAAATCTCTGGTCGTGGGCCTCAAGGGGCCTGATGCCAAGACAAACTGATTGGCGTTAAACTGCCAGTCGTAAAGTAACTCTGACTCTGACTGTAACCAGAGTTACTAGTATTCAGTATGAGTTGTATTGAGTGCATGGCAGTAGTGGTGAAACTGTGCATTGTGTAAATGTAAGAGCGAGTGTTCAATAAATTCGCTAGATCCAAAACGGCGTGAAGTTATTGTGTCGCATACCCAATTCGTGACAATATTATATTTTTTAGCCAACTTATCAGTTGTACGAAGTATATCGGAAAGTTCCTGAACTAGGTAAAAAACAAATACTGCCTTGACTTACTCAGTTTTGGCTGCCATCTCCTTCAAAATAGTCTCCTTGGGAATATACACAGTGATCCTATTATTTTCTTCATGCTTCAAAAGACAGTGGAAGTCATTTTCTTTAATGCTGTTGATTACCACTTGCAATTCCCTTTGGATGTCGGACACTGTTTCAAAAGCCATCTTTTCATTTTCATTTTCAATTTGGGAAACAAATCACAGGGAGCTAAGCCCAGTGATTAGGGAGAATGAGAAATGATAACCATGTTGTTCTTCGTCACAATCTCTATGGTTTTCAGGGAGGTGTGAGCGGGTGCGTTGTGATGAAGAAACAATGAGGCGCATGTTCAGATCTTTTGTTAAGATCTGGCAAACTCCGTAACTGATCCCAGTGGTGCCTGTGAGCTCATTGATTGTTCGGCGACAGTCTTCTTGGATGAGTTCTTCAATTTTTTCAACAGTTTCTCTCATTTTGCTGGTGCTTGGTCACCCTGAACATTTATCATGGTTTTTGGTAGCGGATTTACCAAGCATCACGCAAAACTTGGTGCAGACATATTGCTCGATTTTACCATCTGTCACAGACAAAGCAAAACATGAAGTCAAAAAAGCACTTGTGTAAAAGCAGTGGTGTGTTCACAGCATGGTGTCACATTGCACACTGATGCAATAGGCTTGCAGAAGTGTGACCTTGGCCTCCCCTCTCATCTTCTTTCACGGAGGCAGTTACAACGATAACAGTCTGGGAACTTTCCGATACCACTTCGTATACATTGAGATTTTAATACATGTACCAGCTATGTGTTTTGACACTAAATTGTAATCTTCAAGCTATGTAATATTCATTGTCACTCTGTTTGAAGGCATTAGTGCATAAAATATTAAAAGATTCTAAGGAATTTATTAAAATGTCTGAATCATTTGATCCACATATGAATATGCAGATGCAATTAGAGGTAGAATAAATAAATTGTTCTTTAGTGCACCTTTATGTGATAAGTGAGTCTTATATCTGTTTTCTTTTTATTGCTAGTGGGGTGGGACTAAGTCCCTTGTACTGCGGCCACTTCTGGCCTATTTTACCAGCCCCAGATGATGGGTGAGGGTGATTGTGGAGCAATTGGTGGAATGAAGATTGGCAGGGAAACCGAATTACTCGGAGAAAACCTGTCCCAGCGCCACTTTGTCCATCACAAATCCCACTTGACCAGACCCGGGGATCGAACCCGGGCCGCTGCGGTGGGAAGCCAGCGGCTAACCGCTTGAGCTAATGGCATGGCCCTCTGATATCTCTTAGTGTGTGTGCATGTCTTCTGGTAAGAGAATGTGAATGTTGGTACTAATAATTCTCAGCATGTGGACAGAAGAGAAAAGGCTATTAAATAAAAGTCTTCTGAATTTAGTAGAATGCTTTGATAATCTGATCCTCTGAATTTTCATCATCTCCTTTTCTATCACTTAAAAAACAAATTTTAAGACATACCTATTCCTTTGATGAAGTGCATCAGTGTCGCATATAACTGATTGACTGTCTTGACAAAGCAGAGTCCTTATTGAGAAGCTTATTAAGACAATCCTCGTTTTGTGTAGAGGTCAGAGGTTCTTTGCCATTTTTCACATTAGTCTGCCACTGGATCCAATCCTGAACCACTTAAATTGAGACCATGCTCTGTTTCTGTAAGTTTCATTTTAATATTATCCTCCAGTCTTATGTCTGAGTCTCACAATTGATTTCTTTCTCCATTTTATCTGACTCCAGTTTTGTATGCCTTTCTTATCTCATGCCATGATATGCAAATGGAAAGTTGGTGAATTCACCTTTTTGCATTCAGTTTTACAAACTGGTCATCATTGCATTAAGTGAAATGAGATGTGACAGTTTTAAACAGCATCAGTGTATTTATGATTTTGAAAAATTGCTTTACAGACATAGCTGAAGTGTGTAAATTAGTTGGAAGCTCAGCTCTAATTCTACTGGCCAGTATAAAAAATCGAAATGAAGCTGATGGCGTCGCTGCTCATGTTGTCGCGGTGAAAAGCAGAGTGTCAGAGGTTGCAGAACTAATTGAGAAACTCACAAATGCTGTTAAAGGGGATTCTGCAGAAGTGATTGGTGACTTGGTTGAATCAGAGCTTGCTAGTATGGACAAAGCAATCGAGGAAGCTGCCAATCGGATAGAAGTAAGTATGAAGACTGTTGTGCATTATTCTTTTCTGGAGGTCAGTGAATGTAGTCCATTATACTATAATTATGTGTAGAGATGATTTACTGTATTTGTGATAGTAATCTGTCAAGTTTGCCTTTAAATTTAGCACTGTATTAGGTTCAGATATCAACAGATTTCCCTTTGCAAATAAAAATTGAAAGAAGAGCTGAGAAATCGTTAAATGTCATGAAACATTTGCATCTCTCTTAACCGAAGAAATGATCATCATTGTGTACGATACTGGAAGTAAAGAGAAAACTCGCACCTAATTCTTTCCGCAGTACCAATAATTATAGAACCTAGTTATGTGTTTCTGCATGCAATGGTACTCTCTGTCTTGAGTGTCATTGAACACAACCCAATTGGAGTGGTTTGTATGTTAGGTACAAACAGTAAAGCAAAATAATTTGCACAGCTGCAATGTTGTTCTTTTACTTTTTGTGGAATGACTGTAATAATGTTACATATTTTTTAAAACCTTTAACCACATAAAATAACAAGATCCTGCTGTAAGTGGTATCTATTCCAGACTTTCTAGTGGTTGTCATATTGATTTGTTATTATATTAAGTGCAGGGAATTAAACGTGTCAGTGTGGATTAGCCTCTAGTGTTATGATTTTATTACCAGATTTCATGAACCCCCCCCCCCCCAAAAAAAAATTGTTATGGGGCAGGAGACTTCCACTTACATATATTTCTATTACTGATCATGTGCCTGACTTAAACTTCCTTAAAACATTATAGCAGGTGTTATATCATACAGTGTTTGTTATTCGTGAATTCCTCAAAGATCTGAAATCTTCCTGATGAAGTTCATCGGTGACTTAGGCAGCTTGTCAGATTGCTGTTCTGAGGTGTGTCATACTACGAATACTTTCTATAGTGACATTTTTAGAACAGTATTGCAGGAAGTTATGCACACTTATTTACAGTGTTTTATTATTTTTATTTTTTCGACAAAATCTTTTAATGATTGCATGTCTTATTTATTTATTTATCATTATTTATTAATATTGTACTGTCTTATATTTTTTACTTTTCTGTATCCAATGGTTGTACCAGTATGGATCAATAGAATAAATTAATAAATTAAAATTAAAATTAAAAATTTAGGCTGGTTGAAAAATTGTTGGTTGAGGCTGTGTGGTTAGTTTGATGTGCTGTGAGCTGCATGAGGGAGTATAACACTGCTTGCTAGCAGTGGTGGAGGTAGGGAGAGTTGAAAGGCTACTCATAAGCACAGATGTTTACATACTTCATTACATATTTGGTTGATCGTGTACAGTGCCCCATTTCCACTCAATTCCTTGTCATATTCTTCCTCCTTGTCCTCAGAGCATCTTTGGATACTTTTATCACTGTCCTCTTGAATATTAATTGTAAGTTGTTCTTATAGTTTGTCAGTAATAAATTCCAACCATAAGTAATTCTGTTAATGCTGATAGACATTGTTGCACCTTGAAGTTCATCTTCCTCTGTCATCATATTCATCTGTTTCTCAGTCATTTCACTTCAGTACCTAAACTGAAATCAAAATATTTTCTGGTGATGTGTGCTTTAACAGATTCCTATATCAGATATATCAGATGAGATCTGGGCAGTACAGAGGCTAGCAAACAGACTACTGGCTATCCCCTGTTTGGAATGTTTTGAACTGTGGCTTCCTCATTTTCATTGGAGAACACATTTAGATTTACATTTCAATCATTAATAGGAATGTCATGATTTGAAAGCAAGTCAATTGTTACACTTTTCTTAGATGCAGAAGCTGTTGTGGGTTAATCTGGACAATTTGGTAAGGGGCATCATTTGTTACTCGTATTAACAACGAGTTTGGTAGATGTTCAGGATTAACTTCATTCTGAACTGTCTTTTATAGTTAATAGAATTAATTACATGATTGGATCCATGCAGAAAAATCTTTACTGCTATATCAAAAACTGTTCCTGTTATTTGTGGTGAATATATACATTAACATCTCCTGATGTTTATACTCACATATCTTTTGTATGGCCTTGAAACGACTCTTATGGGCAGACCATATAAAAAAAATTGTATTTACACACTGAAATTGCCTTTTTTTTTTTTATTTCACATGCATAAAATTGTAGTGTGCTGTTTATAACTGCCTGAACATGCAACTGAAATTATCATCTTCATGGCTCAGGACTTTGGCCTGATCTGCTGGTTCCTTTTCATTTTGGGTGTTCTTGACTTCTCCCATGACGTTTGTAGTTCACTGCACATTTTGGTATCTGCTCCTCTTTAATTCTTCTGAGATGTTCTAAGTTGTCATAACACAATAAAAATTAAAATATAACATGTCATAACAGCCTTAACGTTTTCACCAGGTTCTTAATAACAACTTCTTCAAAAACTGCAAGTACAGTGCCACATAAGAAAGGTTAATTACTACATGGTATGTCTCATGTTGGGTTCTAAGTGTACACTGTGAACTTATATAAATTGATTCACTGATATGCAATTTGGACCAAGAAAAATTAACAGAACACAATTTATGATGAACTGCAAGAATGATCAGTTTTATATGAATCTGTATTTATATAACATGCACTGTTTGGTATGTTCTCAGATTGCAAATGCCAGCAATTAAGTACCTCCAACCCTTTTAATTTTAGTAAAGTTTATTATAAGAAATCATCACTCGGAGAACAAATGTTTTTGTTAGGAGACCATGTAAAGATAATTAAATTGGGAAATTTAATTAATGAAACTGTAGATTTATTAAAATGTTTGTCTAATTAAACTGAGATATCTTTCATAGACTTTCCAGTGCAACATAAGGAACACAACCTTCTGTTTGAAGTTTCGAAATATCCTCCGTTATCTTAACAAATATTTCAGGATTTATCTGTTACCTGTGTTGTAATTTTTCAGATATACTTGTTTTCTTGGTATGAAAATTGTTCTTTCACTCTATATGTGTACGTTTAATGTAGCCTTTTATGTGAATATTGAGATATTTATCACACCATAAGTGTACCTATGTTCATCAAGTTGAAGTGGTGTTTGTACTGTGTATGTAAAAATGTATCTTTCCTCTTTCAGGAAATGTTGAGTAAATCCAGAGCAGCAGACTCAGGGATCAAGCTTGAAGTTAATGAGAAAATCTTGGATTCATGTACAAATCTCATGCAAGCAATCAGAGTATTGGTGCAGAAATCACGGTTACTGCAGGCTGAGATTGTTGCTCAAGGAAAGGTTAGTTCTTGTTTGTGTGCAAGAAGTACACCTGATGGAAACAGCAGCCAGAAGATTTATATATGTAGAAGTTGGAAGCCTTGTCATCTAGGGCAAAGGCACTGAATTCTCATCAGGTTTGATGTGCTGGATCCACTGCCAATTTTTTCATGTTTTCCCCATAGTCAGAACTCTGTGTGTACGATGCTGGGATAAAGCCTCCAGCATGACCCAAGAGTTCCCTTCACACCACCCTGGCATTGCTAGTTAATTGGTTCCTGTCATATTAATAGTGACACATAGTGACATATGGTAAAATCTATATTTCCTGGGTTCAGTTCATAGTAGTTCATGTATGATTTTTTGTGGGTGTAATGGCACTACAAGCCTTTCTGCAAGTAAGTTGGATTGTCATCAATCACTATTCATGGGGTGTGCAATAGATATGAACAACTAACACAATACAACAACCTTGCACCACAGTTGGGGAATGAATGATTGGTGACCTGTCACATTGGTGCACTGATACAAGGGGACAGTAAAACGTGGTTGTTTTCATATATAATCATTTATTTTCTTATAAGAAGGATGAGATGGATGAGACATTGCTGACTTGCTGCAGACAGGAAATGCATAGTGAACATGGAACGTAAGAAGGGGGCTCTTGGGAAACTTAGGTGTGAACATAGGGTTGTCACATGTATGAATGTGACTGTAGATGGGTTTGGGATTCATGATCCTTTTGATTGCACTCTTTGTTGCAGTGCATGACTACGCTTTACACTTCACTGTCTCTCTCTCTCTCAGTGTGCCCCCCCCGCACACACACACTCTAGTGCCCACAGTCATGGCTCCACTAGCAATTGCTTGGCAGTGGCCTCTTATGGCAGACATTCCACTTCCTCTGTGTTCCTGAAATATCCCTTGCCTCAGCTACCAGCTTCTCGCAGCAACAGCTCACAATGACTGAACCTCAGTAGTTCTGTGACTAATACAATTACTCACCTCAACTCAACTCAGCTGAGTTCATATCTCTGTGACCTACTGTCCTGCTTATAACATTTCGGCATTGACTGCACAGATTTCTGTATTGCTGTGCCATTGTTGCATTATGTCTTTTTGGGTTCCCATTATTGTTGTGTCCCATTGTTGCCATGAAAATGTGCTTGTTTGTAGAGCCATTACTTAGCAGTGGCTGTTGTATATTTGCTTATTCTGCAGCCATTGCCTAGCAGCAGGTCTACATGATACAGTATATGAGTGGATCTGAAAGAAATATAGTTGGATAGTGTGGACTGGGTTCTTCTGTTTCAAGAAAGGTTCCAGCACCTGGCTTTTGTGAACATGATAAAGAACCTCTGCATTCCATAAGTGGAGGAGAATTTCTTGATATACTGAGTAATTAATGGCTTCTCAAGAAGTACTATGCTCAGTAGAGATAATACTTCTTTTCTTGTTATCCTGAACTGCAATAACACTTGTCACTTGTCTGTAGGGTACGGCGTCTGCTAAGGAGTTTTACAAACGGAATCATCAGTGGACAGAAGGTTTAATATCTGCAGCGAAAGCTGTTGGAATGGGAGCGAAGTTCCTTTTGTATGTATTGACAATTCTTTTAGCATGATAATGTAAAAATATGAAGGCCAGAACCGTATCCACTATATCATATTTTGGAAAATTTATTATTTGTTTCTGGTCTCTCTTATGATTGTATATACTTTTCAGAACAGCAGCAGACAAAGTAGTGAGTGGGCAAGGTAAATTTGAGCAGCTTGTAGTGGCATCACAGGAGATTGCAGCAAGCACGGCCCAGCTTGTTGTGGCAAGCCGTGTTAAGGCTGATCGTAACAGCAAGAATATGTCAGCCCTTTCTCAAGCGTCAAAGGGTGTTACTCAGGCCACAGGTGGAGTGGTGGCTACTGCCAAGTCATGTGGGCAGATGATAGAGGAGAATGGTAAATATTTAGCTTATTCCAGAATCCTACTTACACACTTACATAAGCAAGGCAGCTGAATACCATTAGTCTAATACAGAATTGAACCATTATCTGCAAGTAATTCTTCAGTAAACTCTTCACTACCAATTTTTACATCTCAGATTTTGAGACAACTGACCTGGCTCTGGTTTCTGCTTTTAAATATCATCTAGGTGATAGTGCTGGAAGTCCTAAAATAGTATGTAGACGTGATGAATATGTAAAATGACAATTTTAAATAAAAGAGTTATTCATTATGATGGAGTTGGAAGAAAGCTGTCATTGTGAAATTTTTCCATTCATGTAATATTAGCATTGATAGTGCCAGTGATTCTGCTTGTTATAACAATGTTATCATTGCAGGCCATACTCCTTCTGTTGAAGTTACATGTGTTTGTGTGAGAAAAAGTAAAATATCTCATGGATGTCTCCAGTGAATAACAATTGTCCCACAGTGGGCTGATATATTTTTCTTTGCCAACAATGAAAGGATTGACAAGGAGTTGACCCACAGTTCAAAAAATGTCCGTGGTTAGTGTATTTTTATTGATCAGTGTTTTTTTCAATTTTTTGAACAGAGGACCTAGACATGAGTGGCCTGTCACTGCATCAGGCTAAGCGATTAGAGATGGAATCCCAGGTGCGAGTCTTAGAACTCGAGGCATCATTGGATCAGGAACGCCTACGACTTGCTGCCCTCCGTCGCCATCATTACCAGTTGGCTGGTGAGGTTGAAGGTTGGGACAAGGAGGTAACTATCTAGCAGTTTACTATAGAAATAATCCCAAATGGACAAACAATATCTTTAATCTTTACTCTAGGTGCTCTTACTGATGTCAGTGGCATATAACAGGCAAGGCAGTAAACAAGGAATAGTGAGGTTGGCAGCAAAGGCTTAACAGGGCCTGTGTTGTCTACTTTGGAAGTAAAACTGCGAGCATAATTGGCACAAAAATTATGGGGAAAACAGTGGCAGCTATTTGGGAATCACTCTTTATGACAAATATGCTGGAAGAAAAAACCCTGGTTTTATGCAAATGTTTTCCGTATGTACATCATTGAGAAATTGATGGTTCCAGTATTTTTTGTCACTCTAAATTAAATCCTTATAAATCATATTTGTTCTGTGATTTCATTGTATGACACCAGACTGTAAACTGAAATACAAAGTGCTGTGTAATTTAGTTGGGAGAGAATGGAATAAAGCTTGTGGGGAAAATTGAGGCAGACTGAGTATGATGTACCTGACACTTTAACAAACACAGGCAAATGAAGATTGATGTAGCATCAAAAATAACTTGAAATTGAGAAGCCTGTGGTATGAAGGGAACAGGAATTGTGTGACATGGGTCATAGCAGAAAAAGTACATTCTCATTCCAGAATTAATAGTACTAAGCAGACTGAAAAAGTACCTTATCAGATTGCCACAAATTTTGCTTTTTTACATTAGTGTTAGAATTTTCTGCAAGCATCTGGAATCTAACTTTGAAATATTTTGTGACATCATCACCTCCATAAATTCAAGACTGTAATGCCACCCCGATTAATTTCAGCATATTAAATTGAGTGATGCCATGAAATTGAAGTATACATTACAAAAATATGCTTTCGTTCCAGTCACTTCAGGATGTCACCCAATGATGAGGTTGAAACTGTGTAACTGTGTCATTCATGCTGACTACACTTGAATGACATCTGAGCTGTTCGTGAGTCCATGCATAGTAAAATGTTGTATTTAATATAAAATAATTGACAATTTTATGGACTGAAACCCTGCTGATTTGGATGATGTATATGTAAATATTGTAGCATTTGATATATTTTCCTATTATGAGTAAAATAACATCCTTTTATCATTATTCATTGTTATCAGTTAACATATTCATATTTGATAGTATTTATTAATATTTCAGAACTTAGCTGAAATGTAAAAGTATAACCATAATCTTATTCACAATCAAAAAATGAATGTAACTCAAATCTTGCCATGCCAAGAACAGTGGAATTACAAGACTTGAGTTGCATCCACAGAACTTGGTGAACATTAAGGTTTGGACATTCTTTTTAATGTGCATACCATTTTGAAGAATGTAATCAGTGTGACAGATGAGAGATTTCAACAGAGTTAATAATAAATTGTCCTTTGGTATCATTTTCATTTGCGAAGATGTGTCTTTATTGTTGAAGTTTATTTTCATGGTTTGGTTTTTATTTTTATGATGGAAATTACTCAGGGATTGAAAGTAAATTGGCTGAATTGCATTTCTCAGTGTTTTGGGAAACTGACTGAACAGTTGAGTTGTTTTGCATTATGGTATCTTGTCGGAAGGAAGAGATGAAACCAAAGGATGCCATTGTCTGTGTATACGGTACAAGCACAAGCATAAAATGTGAAATAGTAATATATATAAATATATATTATATTTGTAGGAGAATTTTAGTGTGGACTAAAATAATGCGCTGTTCAATAATGAAGGATGTTTAAAAGTGTTTCTGTATGCCATTTTTACAGTAATATAAAGTGAGTGTTCACATTCACCAGTGTAATGTTGGTCTGTCATTGAGTTGTATAACAAATTAATGTAACTTGTGTCAGCTATAAGTAACATTTATCACATAAGTGATATAAACTAATAATCATGTTAGTAGAATGTATTGAAATTATTTGTGATGTATTATTTCGTGTACTAGGTTTTCCTAGTCAAATTTCAGAGACGAAGTTGTGTATAGTTCATTTATGTATATCTTTATTGCAACGATAATATTGTGTTAATTATGTTATTACTTAACATTTCTGTATGAATGCTGTAATAATTGCAACAGCTGAGAGTACAAATGTTTAAAACATTTCTTCTGTTTGGAACTTCTTTGTTGAGTTACAGAAAGAGTCACTATGATGATGTATTAATATTAGGGAACATTTTGTATTCAGCAGAGTAGAGGCAAATCATATACAGGTGTCCCCAGAGTTTGGTGCCATAATTCAAGAGTGTACTGAGTGTTTCCTATAGAATAACTTTGAAATAGGAACCCATGTCTGCAAACATAAAATAGCAACACTAGGGTGGCATTTAAAATCATTTTGTTTAAACTTGGTGCCTCAGTGTTAAACTGCATTGCATAGAGAAACAGCCATCCACCAGCACTCATGCCATTGCCAAGATTGTGGGAACATCAAAATCAAGTGTTTGGAGGATCCTGCACGACCAACAACTTTATCCGTATCATCCAACGCAAGTACACGATGTAGGTCCAGCTGACTTCGTACCACGAGTTCAATTTTGTCAGTGGATACTGAACCAGTGTTTACATCAGCCCAACTTCCTGAATCACGTGTTATTCACAGATGAAGCGCAGTTTACAAGGAATGGCTGGTTCAACTGTTGAAACAGCCATGTTTGGACGGGCATCATTGGCAATCACTTGATTGGGCCTTTCCTCCTACCACCGCAACTCAGTGGGCCCTTTTACAATGTGTTCCTGAAATGTATCCTTCCGACTTGCCTGGATACTGCTTTTCATAGTCGTTGGATAGGGAGAGGAAGCCCAGTGCCTTGGTCACCCTGATCCCCAGACTTGACACTTCTGGACTATTTTGTCTGGGGCCATGTGAAAAGCCTGATCTATGACACGCCTGTGGATAATGAATTTGAGCTGTTGGCCAGAATACTTGTTGCATGTGACGTGATCCGTGAGACACCTGGAATATTTGAAAGGGTGCGCCAAAGTTTCTTTCGTCGATGTAATGCATGCATTGAAAATGGAGGGTGCCAATTCCAACATCTACTCTAGCAGGTGAGTCTTAACACTTTGCGGACCGCGCACCTTTAAAAGGTTTTTGCTTTTAAACATGGTGGACCGTTTGCGTGTTAACAGGTTTTTAGAACACGATACGTTGCAACACACTATACATTGCTCTGGCGCCACCTACATTGCATGCAACTGCCTGCAGATGCGTGATAAGACTCTGGAATGTTTAGTTAGCAGTCAGTAACTTGACCTCACTGTTTACTTAACCGACTATAAAGGAAAATGCTTTGCCTTCTTCAAGCTGTGTGTATCAGCCAGTAGCTAGTGGGAAGAATGGATCAAGGACAAATTCTCCTCCGATGACCTAGCTGACCTGCCTTGTGAGATGCGTAGTAATGGATTAATTGTCATTCAGACAGCGACAGTGACAACAAAGAATTGTGGCCACAGACAGTAAAAGTGACAGTAGCTCCGACGATAATGCGGGTAATAACATTGCGCATAGTAACATTGCGGGGACAACAAAAATCTAAACCCTGATTCAAAATTGAAATACAAAGCATTTCTGATGAATGTGGCAAAGGCCTGGGCTACAGTCCAGACGGTGGCGGCAGAACCAAGGTCACACAAAGACTTAGTACGACCGGCCCCATCAACTCCCACCCCACGAAGGCCTCATGTGGACCCCCCAGCGTGACTCTTGAGTGATATGCGGTAAAATACCCTCGTGAAAATTGTGAAGAGTGAACAGTCCAAGGGGAAGAATACTTCTAGGCAATGCCATGTTTGCACAGTTCACAAAAAAAAGGAGTATGTCTACATTTGCAAGTTCTGTGTAATGCCACTTCACAAAGGGGAAAGTTTGCAGAAATATCACACCCTCAAGCACATCTAGGAGCATTGGTAAGTGTTCTCCAAAAATTTTAGTTCAAAAAATTAATTAGGAGATTTTATATTAATTTTTAAAGTGAACAGTACACAAGTTAGGGTAGTATGTTTAAAAATGCTGGTCCCCAGGGTGATTTAAATATTTAAATCACTGGTCCGTGAAGTGTTAAGAGTTTGGAGGGGGTAATATGCCTGTGCATGCTCTTCAACATTGAGGCGCCAAGTTTAAACAAAATGATATTAAATGCTGCCCTAGCACTGCTATTTTACGTTTGCAGACATGGGTTCCTATTTCAGAGTTCTATAGGGAACCCTCAGTACGCTCCTGAAGTATGGCACCAAACACCTGGAACACACTGTATATATATGTATATACATACACACATATAATTACATTTCACATTGTGGTAACAGAAATCAGCAGTTTTAACCAATTTAAATCATTTACCTATCTTTTTAGGTTTCTTGTAGGATGAGGTGTCAAGGTGATAGAGGTGCTGGCAAGGAAGGACCTTAAATATTGGTCCTTTGCTCCATGTTGTGAGGGACCCAGTGTATCTCGCATTATGACTCATGATTATGCAATGTACAGTTTCCATGGTATTCCTGTTTCCTGCTAATTGGATTCTATCTTCATGGAAGTCATTATTATCTTGTTGCCACTTCGAATTTCAGAGAATTTCAGACTTGCTCTAGTAGCGTCCATTGTCCCATTTGAACTTTTCAGTAAGATTGTGGGCTGTAGAACTCTTGAATCAGTATTTTATATCAATGTGGGTTTTTGCAGCCTTTTTAATTGGTCAAGTTCCATCATATTATTCAAATATGAGGGGATGCAGGAATAGAGGTTCTCACAGCGGTGGTTATGAAATGTACCATCTTCTAGGATATAGCGCTGTAGACTTCCAGTGGACTACATGCCATTATATCCCAGAATATATTACTTGTTGTGGGGGAATGTCAGGATATATTCATAATTTCAATTTACTGCAAAACTGATGTTGGTAGAGTAATAATTTGGTGGATATAAATGGCTTTAGCCTTTACTTTTGCACATATGATTTTTGTTCTCTGTTAAGTACTGGTAATAGTGTGACCTGTACAGCATGGCTTCTCCAGTGACAGAGTGAACATGGAACAATGATCTGTGATCTGATTACTCTGATCGGAGGGTGAGAAATTTGGTTCAATTCACAGAACAACAGTTAAGCATGACAATAACTGTGAGTCAAAGGAATGTTTATGAATAGGTGGAAAGCTGAAGAGGAAAGCAGACCACTTGAGTGTTGATAATGTGCACTCTGGGTGGTCATTAACTGTAATCTTGTGTTAAAACTATTTATTATTGTTATTATTATTATTATTATTATTATTATTATTATTATTAGTATTATTATTATTATTGGAGGGGTGGGTTTCCCCATGCATAGCGACCAGTGGTCTATTGTACGTCCCCTCTGTGATATTCTACCAGTCTCTATACCCTACCGATACTAGTGCGTGTCATCAGTCCCGACTCAGCCAGTGAGTTTGGCCTCTACTGGCTCAGCAGTATCTCTTGATGCTTCCCCATCTATCAGAGGCGTTAGAGACTACTGTTGGGCGGGAAATGTCCGATCAATTTGGCTCAGTGGTCCCCTTGGGACATGAGGTTCTTTTACATGCCGTAAAGCTACGACATGGGACCCACGGCTTAAAGTCCCTCCCAGAGGACTGGTTCCCTGAATTTTTCCGCCCTTAAAAATTCCACGACCTCCGCCGGGTTTGAACCCGCGTACCTTGAGTCATGAGGTGGGATGTGTTAAGACTAAGTAGCAGATCAATTAGCATATCTAGGAAAACAAGAAACTGGCACATGTGAAATTGCATCTTAAATGAGTATCAGCCATGGAGAGAAGCAGTAGAAGAATTGCTGAAAGTCCAACTTCAAACATTTCATTCTAGAGGAGTGGAGAAGCTTAGAGATCATTGAGCAAATGCATTGAAAGTCGGGCGATAACCTACAAAATAACATAAACTACTACTGTGTGGTAGTTTTGGCAATACTTGTAAATAGTATTGCCTTTTTACTTTTCTTTGTGTATGCTTGCACATCATCTGTCCAGCCATCCTCCCTCTCTGACTGTCTGTCTGTCTGCACTCCAATCAGGGTTGCAGTCAAAATTTTTACCTTTATTGTCCAAAAACACTGAATGTGCTTTTGCAAACAATACAGTGGTTGGTACAAATAATTAGGTAAACTTTCCTCCTACAATGCACCCGACACATAATGGAATGTCATAGACTTGAAGGTTTCTTCATTTCCGATTCAGATAAAAAGATACTGCACAGCAGTGGATGCAAATTCTTCTGGAATTTTGATGTCAGGAAAATATCAGAAATAACTGATTATAACCTTGAGGTGGTATGAAGAAGGTCATATAAGTTTTGAGACTTCCACAACTGCGATTGTTCAGATTGTGGTGATCTGCGTTGTGACACCACATGCTCTGGTACGTGGATACTGTCATTCTAGAGGAAGTGTGCAGAGTTATATAGAGGAACTTATGGAAGACGATGTGTGAGATTGAAGTGGGGGAATCTGGACCCAGTGGAAAAATGGTATGAAATGGCCCTTTTTAAAGGACGCACACAGCTCCTTGTCAGAGATGGAAAATTGAATAGTGAGAACAAAGGCCTTTCCAAGGGGCAGAAAGGCTATTCTTTGGCATCATCTGACAGTGGAAGTGAGCACAATGAAGACACAGCAGCAAATGATGATTACAGTAAAGGGGGCTGAAGCAGAGGTACAGTTTGTTTGAGACCCAACAACTTTGGAATTCTGGTAGAGTCCATTTCCTTATTGGAGTTTGTGGTAGCTTGAAGGTACAAGAGGTACCGTATGTCAACAAGAATTCTACACCATCTTTCTCATCATCATTATGGCAACGGTCCAATTGTTGGTGGCAGAGAATAATGACATGTCATGGGGCTGGTGTTGCTTTTAATGTGTTGAGGGCCAGGAACTTGAAATCAGTCTACAGTCATATCTTTTTTTCCCTCTCCAGGTAAGTGATAATTTTAATGTTAACAGAACAGGAGGCTAGACACTTCATATCCATCAGTTGCTACTGAATGTAATGAATCAGTACTCAAATCTCCAGTTCATTAACAAAATAAATGGTTCCAAGAAATGGAAGCATCCATAACTGACTGCATAGTGGTTGGCT